AGCCCCGTCCCTCTGACCCATCCTTTTCTCCCCCACCTCTGCCCCCCTGGAGCCACGCCACGCCACTGCGTCCGTTCTGCGCTTCTCTGTTCTTGCTGTGGCTGCAGCGTTCGCCCACACAGGTGTGTGCAGGTGTTGCGAAACCTGCTTGCTCCGGGAACGTGTAGGCCGCCCACACGCGAGCCCCCCCTTCCCGTCTCCTGATGCAGAGGGGCACTGCAGGGGTCCCTGGAAGGCCCCCCGTGGCCGGCTGTGCCCAAGGAGATGCCAGCTGCTCTTGGACCAGCGCCTTGCCTGGCCTCCCTCCAGGAAGACAGCCATTTCGGCCCGTCTTCCTCACCTCCACCGCCTCCTCCTGCCAGCAAGGCAGCAGCTCCCACCACGCCGTGCGGCTTGCCACGTTCCCCGTGCACGTGGCCCTTCCGCCTGCCTGTTCTCCTCCTCCTCCTCCTCCGGCCAGCGGCTCACCAGATCCTCCGCTTCCTCCTCCTCTTCCTCTTGTCCCTGCGCAGGCCTCAGGAGCCACCCGACTCTCCTGGGTCCTGGCTGAGCCCCCCCCCCCCTCCCCCCCCCCCCCTCTCCCCCCCGCCCTCCCCCTCCCCCGCGCACTCCCTCTCTCTCTCTCTCTCTCTCTCTCTCTCTCTCTCTCTCTCTCTCTCGCACATGGGCCTCTGATGGGCACCCTTAGCCCCCTAATTCAGAGTGGCAGGAAACCTGGCACCTTCTGTCTGCTCTGCACCATGGGCCCATGTTGGCTGGGGCCAATGGGAGTTGCAGTCCAAACCTTTGGAGGTCCGTGCGGTGACGCTGTGCAGACTCCCAGATTCCTGTTGGCTGTTTTAGAAGAGCAACAGGAGGGGAGGTGTTCAAGTGTGTGTGTGTGTGAGGGGGCAATTTGGCTGCAAAGCAACGCTTTGTGCATTTCCCCGGCGGGTGCCAGGGCACTCTTGCATCTTGCATGGGGACCATTTTCCCTGGTTCCCAAGAGATAATATTGAATTCTCAGTGCAGGTCGGTTGCTGTGAAGCTACACCACAGCCAGGCAACCAGGAGGTTCCGGCTGCATCGTGGCTCTCGTCAGTTTCCAGGGATGCATTTATTTAGTTCCTGTGTTTCCACAGCTCCCGATAGCCAGTGCTTCCTGATTCACAACTATCAGAAAAACCGAGTAACAGCAGAGCGATTTCACAATGTATTCCGGGCAAAATGTTTCGGCCTCTGCCCTCTCCTGTAGCTGCGTTAGAGAGAGAGATTCAGTTCTTTATGCTCAGCAGCTGCTGTGAGGGATAGAAATGAAATAAATGAGAAACGTAAGACTGTCCTGCTCTGAGTGGGGAGACCCAGATTCTAGTCCTGGTTTGGCCAGGAAACTCACCGGGTGACTTCGGAGCTCGCTGCCTGGTACTCCACCAAGCCTACCTTGCAGGGTTGTGGGGTGGATGCCTGGCAGTGCTGGGGGATGATCTGAACCTCCGTGTGTTCGTCCTTGCAAGAAAAGGACAGGGTGTGAAAGCTGAAATGAAATTAATATCTGTAGGAAGCCAAGACAGGTGATTTTGGTAATGAGCAGGAGATGCCTCCTGCTAGCACTCTGCTCTTAAAATGTGTAGGAATTACCCCGGCTCGTTGTGGGGGGTGGGGGGCGTCTTTTGGTGCCAGTCCGGGTCCTGGCCTCCATCCAGCCCTTGAGCTCCACTTGGCCCTGGCCTGGTCCCAGCAGGGCGGACCGTGTGCCCCACGAAGGCTTAGCCCAGGGAGGTCTCTTCCCAGCTGGGGACAGCTTTCTTCGAGCTGGCTGGGGGTTCCTGGGAGTTGTCGTCACATGCATCTGCAGGGCACCTGCTCTTGACCCGTTGGATCCCGACTCTCTGCCAGAACCCAACTTCTCAGCAGAGTTGCCCTTCGAAATCAGCCCCAGTGCTCGGGAAAGGACACCCCTTGCTTTCCGCTACCCTCCGTTTTTTTCTTCTCCGGTAGGAAGTCCAAGGGTGCGGACTTGGTCCATGCGTCCTGCGAGCTCTTGGGAATTGTCTGTGGGGAGCACCCAAAGGTGAAGTGATCGCTCTGCCCTGAAGACCCCTGGAGTGTTTGTTCGGGCCCGGAGAGAGACCCCCTCAGCAAAATGAGGCAGGACCACGATAGGCGCCAGCCACAGAAGGCCCACGGACCACGGCTTCAGTCTTTTCCCGGGAAGTAAGTGTCCCTCTCTCCGCTTCGATGTCAACTGGGTTTATTTCTGAGTTTTCTGGACAAAGGTCAGGGCGCATCCCACTGAAATCAACGGGCTTGCGTCGGGGTAGACAAGGGGAAACCAGGCTGCACGCCTCTGTCTGTTTCAGGGGAAGGAAGTCCCATTGGATTCAAGCGGATTTGCTTCTTTGTAAACAAGGGCATCGCTGCCCTGTTGGGGTGTCCAGAACACGCATTGGCAACGTGCCTTGGACAATTACGCTTTCTTCTTCTGTGAAGGGCGAACGGGAAACAGTTTAAAACCCGAGGGGAGGGGTGGAATTTGCCAGGGGGTGTTCCTTTCCTTGAGGGACCCCCCCAGGTTTTGGGGCGGGGGGGGGGGGGGGGAATTTTGCTCTTGGGAACGACTTTTGAACATATTTTGCTTATGAGATACGAGTTGCACGCCGAGGGAGGGAGGGAGGGATGGGAGGAGGCGTTAACTGGCCCCTCGCGTAGCTGATCTCAAGTGCCCCCCATCCGGGCAGAAAAGGGGAGAAGGACGGGCGGGCGATGCGTGGGTTTGAGGCTTTGTGAAGGAGGACCGCTGGCTCGTCCAGGCAAGGATGCGCGTGTGGAGAGGAGGCGGCGGAAAAGCCGCCCTCGAGAAATGGGCGCCCCCTCCCCGTGGGGGGGGAACCTACCTACACTTCTGTCCTCAGGCCTATTTCCCCTGCGTTTGGAAAGAGAAGCGAAGCGGTGGCGACGGCAAATCGCCCCTAGTTCGGACACTGGCCGGGGCTGGCCCCTTCGGGAGGGGCGTGGGAGGCTGCGCGACGCCCCCCCAGCTCCCGGTTCAGGTGCCCAGCTCGGCGCTGAAATCTCTCCGCCCCGAAGAGCAGTCAATGTGGCCCCGATCGCTGGGAAGGGAATTATCCCCCTGCCCGCAGCTCGAGTCGGGCTTGTCCCCCGGGCCACACCCGCGCTGGTCCCCCTTAGGATCGGGCTGCGCGGGGGCGCCTTGCGCGGGACCAAGAGGGGGCAGGGGGTCGCAGTCCCGCCCGCGTGAATGCACGGGTGAATCTTCGAGGTGGACCCGCGTGTTTCCGTCAGCCTCTCGAGAAACCGCGGCACCGTTGTCTCCCTCGTGGATGCTCTTGGATGAAGACTTTTCCAAGGAGCAGAAAAAGGTTACAAAAGGGGGTGGGCGAGGGGGGAGCTCAGAGAAAAAGTCGGCTTGCGGGGAGAGGTCTGAGCAGCCCTTCGCTCGCCCACACCCCGGTTTAAAAGCAACACTAAAAAGGCTGCATCTTGTGTTCTGCAGTATCCTGGGACGTTTCTGGGGGGACAAGTGTCCCCCCATATCCAGGGAAGCCTGCGTAGGGATGCCCCCTGCTGTCTTTGCACCTGCCGGCCAGGTCAAACCACCCACCTGTCCCAGGTGTGAGGATAAAGGAGGGAAACACTTGGCCAGGTCGGGGGGAGCCCATGGGCACAGGGAACTCCCAGGACTACCTGCAGAAGTGTTCGGGTGCGGGGAACATTCGGGCAGGAACCTGGGACGTGGGGAATCGCCCCTGGCAGGAATGTGGGCGCCGCAGGCCGGCCCGTGGCGGCTTCCCAGGCGGTCCCTTCCGAGCTATCCAGATCTTCTGCATTGATCCATGGGGGGTTCTTGTCCCCCCTTCCCCCTCTCCCTCCCGCACCCCGAAAGAGGTTGTTTCAGGGGTTGGACTTGGGGGTCCATTCGTGTCTTTCCCACCTCCTTTTGGGAGAAATACGGCTTTACTCGCGCGCGGACACAGCGGAAGCCTCCATCAGGAAACGGGCAGGGAAAAAGGAGGCGTGGGGGGCACTTGAAGAAGCCCCCCCACATCTCCTTGGGCGGATTCCGATTTGCAACCCCAGAGCTGCTTCGTCCTGGAAGTGGGAACCGAGTTGGGCTTTTTGTTTTTTCTTTGCCCGGTGGGGAGAGAAGACTTACGGGGTGTGTGTGTGTGTGGGGGGGGGGGACACAAGTCACACCACCTCCGTTCAACTTTGCAAAGTTTCTTTTTTTAAGGATCGACACTCTCTTAGGTGCATGATATATATAAGGCAAGAATCCGTTTCCTCCCCAAAATATGGTGCGATATTCTTTAAGCGACGAATTTCAGGGAAGGGGCCCCCCGCCCCTTCGCGATTGGCTCCCAAGCCGGAGTTAAATCTCCCTTCCTTTTGCTCATGAATAAAAAGGAGGTTTTTAAAAACCCCGTTGCGGCGCCCCGCCGAGAGATCCGCGCCCCTCCGCCGAGTCCCACATGCGCGAAAGTTTCACGTTTTGCCCCTCGCAACCTTCGCTGTCCTCGCCGCCATCCAGTAACCCCCCCATTCCCTCCCCCCTAAAAAAAGGAGCAACACACGCACACAAAATAAGAGGAGAAAAGAAAGGGGAGGGAAGGAGGGGGAAGAAACCCCTCCGCGATCGTGCTCCGAAGAAGCCCAACCTCTCGGCTGGCTTTCTTCATTGCGCATTCCTGAAGGACGCGCGCTCGGTTCCAGCTGGTCAATTTCACCCCCGCCTTTGAGGGGGAAAAATTGGTGGTTTTGGGGGAGAGGCTGGGAAGATCGCCTGCCTTTCCCCCTTCTTCTTTGCAGCGGGGGAGGGAGAGAGAGAAGGAGAGAGAGACTTAAGGCGAGGTCTCTCCCCCACCCCCTGCGTGCGCGCGTGTTTTCGCCCTTTTCTGCGAAGCGTCCGGACGTCTCCTTTTCTTTCCGCGTCTGCTCCTCGCAGGCCTCTGTCATCTCCACGCGGCCCTCCCCCGGTCCATCCCAGCAGCCTCGACTGGAGCATGGCTGCGCTCCCTGGGACCGTACCAAGAATGATGCGCCCAGGACCCGGACAGAATTATCCCCGTACCGGATTTCCCTTGGAAGGTAAGCGCTCGCTGCTTCGAGTTTGGAGATTTGTGAAATAAAGACCCCGCACTTTTAGGACTAGCTCCCCCCCCCGCCACCGGCAGTGGGGGCATCGCTTCCAACTTTCGCCTGACCCCCGCCCCTCGCCGGGGGCTTTGTAACGTTCTGTTCTTGGTTCGTTTTCTTTTTTAAAAAACTTTTCGGTCTAAGATGGATTGGGGAGCCCTTTTAACGCCCCCCCCCCCGCAAGAGTATACATCCAGAGCCTTTTGAAATTCCCTGACGGCTGAACGCTTGTCTCGGAGAACGTGCTCGTGAAACCAGACGGGCTTCCTTCTAAGCAAGGAAGCGCCAGCCTCGAAGGCGGGTTTCCTTCGCGCCGGTGGACTCGGTCGGCCGTCGCGCTCCGAGCCAACGCGGCGGGGTCGAGGCTTCCCCGCGCGGAGGACCGAGGCGGGCTGCCTCTCCCTCGGGCCGGGTTGGTCTGCCTTCGCTCCTTTCCTCCCGAGGGCGAAGGCTGCGTCGGGTCCTGCCGGGTTTTTTGTTTGCTTCTGTTGGATTCGGTGGCGGCTTTCACCCCCTTCCAAATGTCTTGTCGCCTCCCAGCCCAGCGGCTCTAACCCAGCCAGGCATTTATCCGTGCCCCTCTCTCCTTAAAAAATAAAATAAAATAAAATAAACAAATTAACTAACTTTAAAAAGAAAACGCAGAGAGAAACCAACCAGATGTGGCCAGGCTGGAAAACCGCCCTGGTCGCCGTTCCAAACTCGGGCCCTTCCCCGGATAATTCCTCCCTTGCACCTTCGCTTTTCTCACCTGCGCTCTTCCCCCCCCCCAGTCTTTTTTTCCTTTTCGAGGGGTAGCAGGTGAGCTCCCGACGCCCCCTCGCCTCCCTCCCCCTCCCCCAAGAAAGCCCGCACGACGCCTCGGACCCGCCGCCCCCTCCCTCGCCACGGAGGCCAAGCCAGAATTAACGCCGGCTCGAGGCCCACTCGGCTGCATTTATTAAAGCAAATCTTCCGCGCGCGAGGCGTGCTCAAGTGGACGGGCTGGGCAGCCGAGCCCGGGGGGGCGAGGGAAGGGACGGGCCCCGCGCAAGGTGGGAAAACACACAGGCACGCCGCGCGGAGGGCGGCCGAGCCCCGCTCCCTGCTGTAGCGAATGAACTTAACGGGGCTGGGAAGGGAGAAGGGATCAAAGGATTACCAAAATATTTGTACAACGTGATCGGGAATAATGACAAGGCAGCACCAGCGGCCGATTCCAGCGCCTCTCCAAGGCACCGTGTCCCACTTGAGCGCTCTCGGCGCCTAATGAGGTGTCTATCCGAGTGACTTCGAATTAGCGGCGCGTGATTCTTGATTAAACCGCGAGGCGAGCGCTGGAATCTACTTTTCTCCTCCGTTCAGCAGGGGAAAGAGAAGCAGGCGGGGAGGGCAGAGAGAAGGGCGCTCTTCCCTCCTCGCCTCCAGGCCCCCTCTTTCTTCTCCCTTCCCGCGGGTCCCCTCCGTGCCAGGAAGCGCCCTTCGCCAGGGCGAATGTGGCCCATCCGCAGCCCATGCGAGGCAGAAAACAGAAAACTCAGACCGCCCCCCCGGGGGAGGGGGGCTTCCTTCCGGATCGCCCGCTTTGCCTGGCAAGACAGGTATTGCTGTCGTTGCCCGCAAAGTCAAGAAATAGCACGCGAGAGTTTCTGTTCAAAAATGCCGCATTAAAACTGTTGCGCGCGCTCCGCCGCGGAGCTTTCAAAGACCATTTTGAAAAGGTCCCGGAGGCCTTGGAGACCCTTCCCGCGTCTGCCCGGGATTCTGCGAGTCTCTCTCTGCTCTGCCGACGCCCGCCCGCCCGGCGTTTCTCCCACCGCGCTTCGCCGGGGGCTCTCCCGCGAGCAAACTCTCCTTTTCCTCACGTGGGAAAGCGGTCGGGCTTGGCAGAGCGGGACCCGCCGAGGGCTGGCGGTTTCTTCGGAGCGGTTGCCGTGCGGAGAACATGTGGGCGCGGGAAGCGGGTGTTCGGTTTTTGTTTGAAGGCCAACAAACCCATCTGCGGACGGGTCGGGACAGCTGCGGAGAAAGCGCCAGCAGATGTAAGAGTCGTCGGCGCAGCTGGAAGGCGCCGAGGGAGAGATTTATAAAAATATATTGTGGGGTTAAAAGGAGGAGGTACCGGGGCGCTGCAGAGGTCGAGGATAAGAAAGCCAGCACGGATCGCTCGCCTTGTAAAACAGTAGATCTGTCCAAGCCGCTCCGGGATGTTCACGAATAACGGCAGAGGCCTCAAAGGGCGCGAGCCAAGCGCCGGACTGCTCGCTTCGTGTCCGAGTCCGCACCCCCGGAGGGCACCTGGCTGCGGAGGGCGCGCGGCTCTCGGCTCCCCTCGGCGGGGCTTGGCTTCCCGACGCGGGGAGCGCGTCCGCGGATCGGGGCGCCCGGCTTGGCGGACCTCCTTCCTCGGGAGGCAGCTCCGCCGAGTCGCGCGCAGCCGCCTCGCCGGCGCGTCCCTGGGACCGCGGAGGCCCTTTGTCCCGGGAGCGGGCAGCCCCGTCCCGCCCGCCGCGCCCAAAGTTTTCGAACTTCGCCGCTTTTCCAAAGAGGGGCGGCGGCGCGCACCCCCACCCCGCGCCGCTCCGCATCGGCTCAGCTCCTGCGCAGCCCGGAACCGACCCCCGAGCAGCCTCGGTGCGGGCCGCGGTCCGAAACCCCGCCAGGACGAGGAGAGCCCCGCTTCCCTCCCCGGCGCCACCCCCCCAAAATAGCCTCGGCTTCGAGGAGGGACCGCGCCGCTCGCGCTCGGGAGAGCGGGCGAGGAAGGCCCTTCCGGAGCTCCGCGGGCGCCGGGGACCTTCCGGGCAGCTCGGCGTTGAAGGCCGCGCCGCGCCTGGCGGCAGCGGCGCACCAGGCGCGGCCCAGCCGGGCCTCCTTTCCCGCTGATGCTGCGGCCAGAGGCAGCGCCCGCGGGGCGGGGGCTCTTTGCCCTCCCGGGGGGCGGATGAGGCCCTCCCGCCCGACAGCCCGGCGACCCCAGAAGGTGCCCCTGGCCTCGCCTCGCTTGCCCGCAGCTCCGTCCGGCGGGAGAGCTCTTGCAGTGCAATCCCGGCAGGTTTACGCGGAGGAAGCTCCGTTGCGAACGAGGCTTGCTCCCGCGTAAGCGGAAAGGGGATCGCAGCGCAAGGGCCAACGCGACGGGGAGCGGGACCCCCACCTTCTTTCGGAGTTCTTTGCCAGCCCTGGCCGGGCAGCCCCCTGGCCCGCAGCCTTTGTTCTCGCCGTGAGCCCCCGAACCGAGCCGAAAGGGGTTCATTCCGCGCCGTGGCACAGGGCTGGCCCAAGCCACGGCTCCTTGGGGCCCTTAGTCCCACGGGGCCGCGCGGAGATGAAGTAGAAGACGAGGCGGGACTGGGGGGGGGGGCATTTTAACACAGCTGCGACCCCCCTCTCCTTCTCCAGAAGGTGGGCCACACAATTCAGCCGATGCTGACGGCCCACGCACTGGGCCAGAGGCATCAGTCCGTACGAACAGAGCTGGTGCCCACGCCCCGTGGGGTGAATTCGCTAGGATGGGCCGCGTTCGCCCCACTCAGCACGCGAGAAGAAGGGCAAGAGCAGGCCCCGGGCCAGCCAAAACCTGCGAGGGATATTTGGGGGGGCGGGTGGGGGGAAAGTGGGGGACAGTGGATTCTGGTTTGCAGGTGAAGGGCTCGTAATAGGCATACCGGGGGCAGAGAAAATTCAGGGGCAACGTACCGTCCGCCGCACTGGGGGGGGGGCACCGTCCCCAGGAGCCCCCTGGCCGGCTCGTCGCGCGTCCGCGCCTCCCGAGGAAGCAGGTGTGGGAGCCGGGGCGCCGCCGGGGAGGACTTGGGGCGAGGGCGCAGCGCGCCCGGGCGGGTGGGTGAAGTTTGCTGCCCGGCGGCGTGGGGGGGGTGCTTCCCAAGAAAACCGCCTCTTCGGAGTTTCCAGCCGCATTTCGCGCTGTTAAACAGAATCATAGAAAAGCCGAGTTGCAGTGTTGTTCCTGCTTTTCAGGGCCCGGGCGGGGGCGGGGGGCGATCTCTGCCTCTCCCCTCAAAATTGCACGAGCGACTGGGAAATAGCAAACCTCCCGGCCTTGTCTTTCCGAGGCCGTCCCCTCCGTCGCCCTAAAACTACTCTTTATTCTCCGAGCCCGCGGGCGCTTTCTGCCCTTCTCCTCACAGCAGCCCCGCGAGGTGGGCTCGGCCAGGAGCGCGCGGCCGGCGCAAGCGGCCCCGTCCCCCTTCCGGGCGCCCCCCACCCCCGGCGGCTCCGGGCCTGGAGCGCCCCGAGGGCGGCCGGGCCGCGCCGCGCCGACTCGGGGCCCGCGCGCACTCGCCGCTCTGCTCTGCTCTGCTCTGCCCGCAGTCTCGACCCCGCTGGGCCAGGGCCGCGTCAACCAGCTCGGAGGCGTCTTCATCAACGGGCGACCCCTCCCCAACCACATCCGCCACAAGATCGTGGAGATGGCCCACCACGGCATCCGGCCCTGCGTCATCTCGCGGCAGCTGCGCGTGTCCCACGGCTGCGTCTCCAAGATCCTCTGCCGCTACCAGGAGACCGGCTCCATCCGCCCCGGAGCCATCGGGGGCAGCAAGCCCAGGGTGAGTGGAAATCCAGAGGCGGGGGCTCTTCTCCGGCCTCCCCCACGTGCCCCGGGAGCCCGCGCGGCCCGGAGCAGCACTGGGCCCGAGGGCGCTTCCCGCTCGTGGGGACGCGCGCTCGGGAACGTCCTGGGCTGGGCTGCTCGGACTGGGTCCGGGGGCGCGGCAGGTGTCTTGGGCCACAGTGTCTAGACGCTTTGACCCTTGGGCCTGCTGGCTGGGGCTGATGGGAGCTGCAGTCTAAGCTGTCCAGCGAGAAGCCGGGTTGGGGGGTCGCAGCCTTCAAGCCCCATGGATTTCAGTGGGTCTCCTCCGAGTCTGAGTTGCGCACTCAACCGCCAGTACAATCCAAGTGGTGTCTACTCTGAAGGCAATCTGGTTGTTGTCAGTGGCACCTACTCCCAGGTAAGTGTGCACAGCCAGTGCAGGGTGCGGTCCAGCACGGAGAACTGGGAGAAGTCAGCCCTGGGCATCAACGTGTGAACCGATCGGGTGCCTGTTACAGCCCCGGGTCGCTTTACTAGCAAGTAAGGGTGGAATCTTGCCGGAAGCTCTGCTCAGGCCCCGTTACTTCCGAGTAAAGGTGTAGGAGTGGCCGCGGCGCTCTCTCTGAATTAGGCTGGATTTTCTTTGCGAGTAAATGCGCACCAGACGGGGCTGGAAGGCTGTCTTTCTCTTCACGCTTTCTCAGAAGTAAGCCCCGTTGAAGCGTTACTTCTGAGTAGACCTGGCCATTTGGAAATGGGCCTTTGGGGGTCGGTTCAAAGGTGCTTCAAACACCTCCTAACTATCTGAATACTTGTCCTCTACAATAATCCCCCCTTTTTTTTAAGAAAGAAAGAAAGACTCGGGGGGGGGGGAGAGGGAGGAAGGAGCCGCTTCCTCGAAAGTAGGCCCCTTCCGAGTTGCTTCCGAGTAAGCAGCGAGGACAGGCGGGGGTCGGCGCTGCCCGGGACGAGCAGGCGCAGCCGCAGGGCCTGATCCTGGGCGCGTCTCCTCGGTCGCAACGCCCCGGGCTGCAGGAAACGGGAGAGGCGCTTGCACGGGATTGTGGCCTCGAGGGGCCACGTGAGCGCGCGGGGCATGCTGGGAGGGCAGGTGAGTCCATCTGGGCGTCTGTGCCCACCTGTTCGCGCTCGCGGGGAGGCGCGGCTTCGCGGGGCTCCTGCGGGCGCGCGCGGCCCGGGAAGGGCGCCCCGGGAAGGGCGACCTCGAATTTAACAGCGGGCTCCTCTGCCCCCCCCCCCCCCCCCCCGCCCCGCGTTGATCACAAAAGCAGGTCGCGACGCCCGACGTGGAGAAGAAGATCGAGGAGTACAAGCGCGAGAACCCGGGCATGTTCAGCTGGGAGATCCGCGACCGGCTGCTGAAAGACGGGCACTGCGACCGCAGCACGGTCCCCTCAGGTGAGAAGGCAGCCGGGCTGGCCGGGGGGGGGCGAGGGGGGGCGAGGGAGGGAGCGGCCGCGGGGGCCCCGGCCCCGGCCCCGCGGCTTCAGGCCGAAATAGGCGCGCCCCGGAATGCCGGGGTGGGGTCGCTGCGCAAGGGGCCTGCAGTCTGGCGGGGGGGGGCACTGTCTTCCCTCTCCCGTAACACGCGGACCGGGGGTCATCCCAGGAAGCGGCCTGGGGAAGAGTCAGGGCCGCCCCACGGAAGTCCCTCTCGGCGCGGCCTGTGGGGGAGCTGTGGAACTCCCTGCCGGGGGAAGGGGGGTGGCTTTCGAAGGGGGTGGGGCAGATTCACGAGGGAGAGTCCAGGGGGCTACCAGCCGTCCTGGCCACGGGCTACTTTCTCTGCCGGGGTGGCCTGCCTGCACACGCCGGCTGCTGAGGGGTTTGGGCAGGGGGAGGTCTTGCCCCCACCCCGCTTGAGGGATCAGGCGGGCAGCCGGTTCGCCACCGCATGGATGGCCCCTGAGCTGTTTTTAGGGTCTTAAAGCCATACCGAGATGCTTCATGCGAAGTGCAGAATCCCCATGAGAGCAGAAAGCTACCAAAAGAGCTCCGTGCGCCCCCCCCCCACGGCATGCCAAGCTCTTTTTTGAGGGGGGATTGAGGGGACATCCACCCAGTCCAGCTAGTCGGTAAGCTGCGTGTGGTGTAGCCCAGCGCCAAGAGAAGTCCTCCCCTGCCTTGTGTGAGACCCGGGCCTGAGGTTGCCGTGTGGCTCCTGGGCGCCGGGTAGTCCCTGGGCCAGGCAGGCAGTTTGGGGGGAACTTTTAACGAAGTTGTTGTTGTTGTTGTTTTGACATTTAGTTGGGATGATATGTGTGCTTTCTTTAAAGGCTGGGTAACCAAGCTGAGCCAGTTACTAGCTGTGCTGCAGAAACCTTTGCCTGCTAGATAGTGGTCTCTCCCTCCCTCCCCCTCTCTCTCTGGGGGGCACCCCCTCCACCTGCACACGCACACACGTCTGTCCTACAGCGTCCTTACTCCGTTGCACCAGGGAAGTCTGAGGCAAGAGTCGGGGTGTCATCCAAACTCCATGTGAGAAGGAAGCAGAGGTTATTAGGGGTTTCCCTTCATGATCTTGATTCGAGTAGACCCTTTGGAGGGATGGGGTGGTGGGATGAAGCCTGCGGGAGAAGCTTCAAAAGTTCCCTTCTTTTGAAAGAAAGACTACAAGTTTGGCCATCCACTTGACTTCAGTCACTTGGATGCAGTCTTGTGAGTTACACAGGGCTCTGCATGGAACTGGTGGGGAGCCCTGTGTAACCTGGAAGTCAGCATTCCTTTATTTGAAAGCACGAATGGGTCCTGAATAAATAAAGCAAGCTCTTTCCTCCTCTTTATTCCTGGTTTTGGGGATCCAGGTGTACACAAGTCTGCACATATGTACCCAGAAGCAAGCCTCATTGATTGCAGTGGGCTCATTCCTAGGGAAATAGGCAGGGGATCGCAGCTCGTCTTGTCTTGGAGAAAGCCGGGAAAGAGAAGCTAAATGGTGCACATTTCCCGTCATCCAGGAATCCATCTGTCTCCAGGGTTCCTTCATATGGCACGGCACACGTTGTGTTGTGTGGTTGTGTGCTTGATGGCCTGCTTTTTAAATGCCACCCGAAGCAGCTCCGATTTATTAAATGGAAAGAGAAGAGTACGACCCGCTTGCAAGCCTCTGGGTGCCTTGCTTCCACACATGCTTTATGGGGGGGGGACTTGGGGGGCCATTCCAATAAACACACCCCGATAAGATGGAGGGCAGGACCCGCAATCGGTTTCTGTGCCTTCAAGAAAGCTGCTTCAGTTGCAGCACGTGGCTGGTTTTGTGTGTCTACCCAGACGGGGGGGGTTGATCTTGCAGGGGGCTGCCCCGGTTTGTACCTGAGCCTCAGGTGCTCCCCAGAGCAGCAGGGATTCTGCCGGATGGCAAGAGATGCTTCCCAAGGAGTAGGAGGGGGCCGGGGGGGTGCCCACCGAGACTGCTAGCCGTGCAGGGTCCAGAAATGGGGAGGAGGGTGGTGGGCCTGGAGGGACCTCCCCCCACAATTATCTCTCCCCATATCCTTTTTCTTTCTTACGAATACAAACTTGCTGTTTTGCCTTGACACGACCACAGACCAGGTGAAATGCCTCCCCTATTTTATTGGCACCCCCCCCCCCAAAAAAAACCCCTTATGCTGCCTACAGGCCTTGTGAACTCCACGTTTCCTTGCAGCACTAACGGGCGTTGATCCTCGGCGTGATCGTGGGGTGGGGAGGGCCCGTCAAAGCGCAGGGGGTGTCCCGTGGGTCACCTCTGCCGCAGCTTAAAACAAAGCCGAGCACACCCCCCGCAGGTGGAAAGCTAGCTTCGCAAGGCCGCGAGGTTTCTTCCTTCTGTGCTGCTTGGCAGCCTGCAGGGAGGCCTCCCTGACGCGCAAGACCAAGGGCCTGCAACCCCCCCCCCGGCCACCCCCCGCCCCGCGCACGCATGCTTGCACCTCCGGGTCTTGACCCGCACGTCCTTTCGACCTGCCAGAACCCCCACGGATTTCTGGCCCGGTGGAATGGCATCAGCCACCTTGCCCGAGGAGGGGATGGCCAGTCTATAGAAAAGCTGTTTAAAAATTAAGCCAGCGTCTTAATACGGGAGCAGAATTCCATGGTTTTTGGATAGATACTGAAAACGTCTCTTTCCAGAAATAATGGCATTGCAGTGCAATGACTTGGCGTTTTCTGGTGGTTCTGAGCACCACAAAGAGACAGGCCTGTGTTTGTGTCCCTGCAAAGAGGCGGTCAGTTTTAGGGTGCGATTTTAGGGTAGTCGCGTTGGGGGGGGGGGCTGTCCATACGCTCAGTGAATCCGCACAAAGTATTTGGATATGTTTCTCAGCAACGTTGCCCAGCCTCGTAACTGATTCCAGATACTTTGGACTAGAACGCTTTGAATCCTCTGTCAGCTGGCCATCTGATCGGACTGATGGGAGTTGTAGTACAACCCATCTGGCAGGCAGGAGGTCGGAGAATGCGAAGGGAGTGTTTCACAGGGCGGTTTTGGAGACCTGTCGGCTCAGCCGTGAACAAACCCCGCTCTGCAATCTGGTGGTTATAATATTGGGCCTGCTCTGCAGGGTGGTTGTGATTTTTCCCATTTCAAGCGCTCCCCGAAACCATCGCTGTAAAAAGCAGGCCCTTCTGCCATGGCCGAGTTAGAGTAATGGGTTTAAATGCACCAGAAGGTCAGAGAGAGAGAGAGAGATTTAAATGCATGTCCTTCTAAAAAGCTACAGGTGGTGTTTTGTTTTGGAAAAGGCATTCCCACGGAGCTCTTTTATGGAAAACCCTTCCCCTTTTGGGGACACAAATCCGTGCCACCTAGACCCCAATGGGAGCTCTTTCTAGCACAGCTCATGCTGAGTTGCACGCGGGTGAAACTGACGGTCGCCTCCCAGGAGATCGAGCGGTGATGCCTTGGAAATATTTCCCGGCCATGCCAAGATGTCTCCCCCTCCCCATTTCTCTGCTCTTTGTCTGCTTGTGTTTGGTCCATTAACGTATTTTCTTCGCGGCGGTGAGCGGGCGCTGCCGGAACTGCAAAACTTTCCCTGGGAACTTTGGAAGGGCGCTGTTCCCCATGGGGCTCGGACCCCCTCCCCGCCTCGCCGTGCCTTGGGCCGGGGCTTGTCCTTTGCCAAGCCTGCCATGTGCTGGTGCCCGGGAGAGTCCCTCTAATTGCTGCGTCCTCCCAGGGGTCCCAAAGGACGCCTGACCCGGATCTAAGGGGAGAAACTGCAACCAAACTTCGGGAACGTTAGACTAATTCTTCTGGCCTAGCTATTTGCTCCCCCCCTCCCCAATTTGCCTGCAAACCAGCTTATATTTCCCTCTTCTGTCTTTAACTGTCCGAGGTTTAGTGAGTTCGATTAGCCGGGTGCTCCGAATCAAGTTCGGGAAGAGAGAGGAAGACGAGGATTGCGAGAAGAAAGAGGAGGACAGCGAGAAGAAAGCCAAGCACAGCATCGACGGCATCTTGGGCGACAAAGGTAGGGAAAAACGGGGGGGGGGCGCTTTTTCTCCGTGTCCTGTGGCTTGTTTGCCCCTGAGAAAATGTTGCTGTGCAGAGAGGCTCTGCCCAGGATGTCAGCCAAGACCTTTTCAGGACCCTCCATTCCTGCCACCCCACAACAGACTCCTGAAGCTGCTCTCACCGGCTTTTCCCCTTCAGGAACTCCCCAAGCTCTTCCTCTCCCTGGTGCCCATCTTTGGCTGAAAGGATTGTCACGCAGAGAAACCCTAGATGTGTCGGACCGCAGCTCCTATCAACTCCAGTGGGGGATGATGGCAGCTGTAGTCTTACCCATCAGAAGGGAGCCAGGCCCCCGGGAGGCTGCAGGTCTTTCGGTATCGTCCCCTGAGCGAGCGGCAACAAGAGTGTTTTGTCCTTTGCTCCTCACGTGGGATGGAGGGTCGTTCGCTCCATCACTTCGAGCCTCCGTGGTGGTGACATTTAGGATCGTGTTTTCAATATTTATGAGTCCTGTTTTCAATCTTATGGGAAGATCCTTCAGAGGCCAGATAGGAAGAAGAAAGGTGGGATACTTTATTTTTTCAAAATAATTTTTTCAAAATCAGACGCGGCCTGTTCCTCAGGGAATTTGGAGGCCCCAGTTCGACTCTGGGAAGGAAGAGGCAGGTGAAGCAAAACCGGAAGAAGATGTGTTTCCTTAGAGGAGGCAGGCTAAGGGGTGGATATGCCAAAAGGCTTCCACAAAGAGAGTTTTGTTTGGCATTCGCTTTCCTTTTTCTTTTAATCCACCAGGACCGTCTGAGATTGGATTTAAACTAGAATGGCTCTCTTTTTAAACTAACCGAAGCACAAACTTCGGCTTGGCCTGCCTTTCCTGGCTTTTAATATATTACAAAATGCATCTTGGATTGTGGTTATGAAATGTGTTTTCCTGCATCTGAAAGCATAAGGTGAGAATCTCAGAGAGAGAGAGAATCTGACCCGTTCTTCAAGAACAATTTTATTATTTTCTGCCACCATTTCTGATCTACTGCCAGGGTTTGCTTTTATTTTCAGCCTTTTAAAACCAAGAAAGGAAAAGCACACCCCTGTGCATAAATTAGCACATTTTCTCATTTTGCATAATTTATTCTAGATTTTGTAGTCATGGGAGGGGCAGGGCCCCTATATTGACTTACGCAACCGCTGCCACTTTCTGTCCCCCTAAGACTTTTGGATGCTAAGATATCCTCAGGCATCGCCTGTACGTGTCCAAGCCCATACAGCCTTAATATCCAGGTTGTCGTGTTTCGAGCAGAATTCATCCACTGGCATATTCTTTCCTGGTTTTGCATGTGTGCGGTGTCCGGTTGACACGTGTCATTTTGTGTGTGTCCCCCCCACCCCGTGTCTTCCCTTTAAAAGCAAGTTTACATAGAGAACACATTGGTCCTTTGTGGGGTTCTTTAGGGGGAGAGTCAGATGTAAAATGTTTGTAGCAAACTTTGGAGTTTTACAAAATTCTGCACTGATATTCCATGCTTCCCTCCTTTGTGTCCGTGCTCTTTTCCTTAATGTGGTCTATCACCTTGGTTTTTTCTTCCGGAAAAATAATCGCATGAATTAAAATAATCAAATGGAAGTTCCTTTTTTGCAAAGCTGGGAACCTTCTGTTAATGTTTCCAACTCTGAAACAAGGTGCTCCTTTTTAGTTTCATTGCAACAGGACAGCATGCTATGTATAATACTTTAAGAAAAGCGTGATGTGGAATATCTGTGCGTTGGAGTATCTGAAACAATAGCCTTGGCTATTTTTAATATCTTGAAAGAAATGTTATTTCAAATATTTTTGGTTTATTTATTTTTTTAAATGACATTCGTTAAGACGGTGGAGGAGAGAGAGATTTGTGAAGGGGCCCACAAATAAATAATAAAATTAGAGGATGTTGAGCCGGGATGCTGCTGGAGAAGGGATGCTTCTGTGGGGCAGAGGACGCAGGGGCTAATTTGCCAGCGCGGGCGCTTCATTTTGTGGGGACAGAATGGAAGCGTTGCCAGAAGGGCAAACCTGGACTGTCTTGGCATGAAAACCGGAGTGACTCCGGATCCCGCTTGAGCCAGGACTCGGGAAGAGGAGGGGGGGAGGAGAGGGGGAGCCGAAAGCTTCGCTCAATGAATTTGTTAAACAGATCAGTTTCTCTTTTCCTGCTGTTCCTTTCTAAACGGTCCCCAGGAACCTCGCTTGACAGTTGGACTGATGGGAGGCATCAAATTCAATTATTCTTTGGGCTTCTGTTTTTTGGGGGGGGGGGCGCGAGGGAGAGAAGAGAGAAACGGGGAAGAGATGCCTCCACTTTTAAAACTCCCTTGCTTTGGAAATAATTGCAAGCTGGGTTTCTCGCGATTGCTTGGCGTTTGGGGGCTGTGGAATGACACGCGCGCAGCGCTCTCGACTGTCTCTTTTCCCCCAGAAAGCGGGGCGGGAAGGGTCTCTCCGGGAGGAATTCGGCCCCCGTTTCTCTCCCGAACGGTCCAAACAAAGGTCATCGCGCGATGACGCTCATTTTCGTACCAGCAGCGCTGTCCGCCCTGCGCCCGGCGCAAGATTAAGAGGCGAGCGCGAGGGCGCGTCTCCTTGCGCGCGCGGCTCCAGGGAGCGAGGATATTTTAGGGGGGCTCAGCCCCGCGCACAAGCAAAGAGTGGGACCCCCAAAGCTGCCGCGGGGGGCTCGTTTTCTGGGTCGACGGTTGGCACCGTGTAGTTGCCGATTTCCACGGCTCGGGAAGAGCGGGGCGCTTTTGTGTGCGCCCGCACGCCGGCCGCCCTCGGTCTGCTCCGCCGGCCCGGGCGGTGGGGGGACCCATTTATTCGGGGGTGTAGAAGGGAGCGGTTGGGTGCCGAGAAGCGCCGAGCGATTCCCGGCAAGTCCCGCGGCTTAAACTTCGCTTCTTGCCCCCAGCAAAGCAAAAATCCCCGAAGTGGCTATCCAGACTGCGGCTGGGAAGCGCCGAGACCCCGCGCCAAGTCTTCTGCGTGTTTACTTGGGAGTAAGCCTCGCTTGCAGTGGGACTTACTCCCGAGGAAACACGGGGAAGCTTACATGGTGCGCGCGCTTGAAAACGGCGGCTTTTCCTTGCGAGTAAGTGGACAGGAAGCAGCCGGTTTGGTTTCGTTTGCTTTAATTTTTCTCGATGGGGATGCTAATTGAAACGGGCAGGCCTTACATGCGAGTAAATAGCCCAGAAGCTGATCCAATTTGGCTGGCTTTTATTTCGGGGGCGGGGGGAGGAGAGAACCGAAACGGGTGAGTTTTACTCGCGAGTAAGCAGACAAAAAAGATTTAATTGAATTGGCTTTGATTTTCGGGACCATGATTTTTCTTTAGGTTTTACTCCTAAGTAAACAAGCGTTTAGTTGGATCTCCTTTAATTGGCGGAGGGGCGGGTATTTGCTTTATTTCCAGGCGTCGTTGTAGCTTTCCTTGCAACATTCTCACCTTCCTAAAATCTCATCGAAATGAGTTTGCGATCAGAAGAGATTCCACACACGTGCGCGCGCACCCCGAAAGAAACCGCTTCTAAAAGAATCCTCCAGCCAGCTTTTTCTTTAAAGTCTTAAATATTTTTTCCTGAATTAATATATTTAAACTCTTTTTAAATGAGCATACCAGAATGGTTTGCTTATATCTGCGAACAATTTAAATATATGTGGGCTTCCAATGTTATCTTGAAAAGTTTGAATGGAGAATCAGCAGGACATGAATTTTCTGTTCTTTTCTTTTCTCTTCTGGCCCTGGGTTTGATCGCCTCCCTTTCGGGGGGGGGGTTGTTTTTTCCCCCTTGTCAACCTTGGCGATGAACTTCAGTTACAAAGACTCTCCAAGTCTATTGAAGCTAAAGAACTCTCTGACCACAAAGGCAAACAGGGAACGTCCCCCCCCCCGGGGTGGGGGTTGGAGACACGACGCTGTGTCCCTTCCCTCGAAACCTGCCCCCTCCTCCCCCAAAAAAAAAACTGCAGGGAAAGGGACTCCACTTATTCTCATTCAAAATTTTGCAAGGGGAACAGAAAAGTTCGAGAACAAAACAAGCGAAAACAAAAACTGGGAGAAGAATAGGAGATAAATTATTCAATACGCCCTGCTGGTAGATAGTTTTGTAACATTATTCACACCTTCTGTTGGCAGTGAAAAGCGGTTGGATGGAGCGACTGCCTCGTTTTGTGCTTTTTCGTATTTCAAATTGCTCTAGATCCATTTGGAAATTAGCCCTTTTGTGCCCAAGCGGCCATCCCGGCTGCCGTTATTAATATTATTAGTATCATTACGAGTTTGTGGTTTGTAGTCTAATATTTTTAAGGGAAGGGTTGATTTAGGGTTACAGACTTGGTCCTTAGGCGGCTAAAATCGCCCCCCCCCCCGCGCCGCCTTTCTCTCCGTCTTTCTCTCCCCGTCCGTCTTTTGTTTCATTTAAGTGTGATTCAGAAAATACTCCTGAGTGAAAGTTTGGTTGTGAAGCGAATTTATTTCTATATACTACTTTTGAATTCAGGTATTTCTCTCTGATCATTTTAAATGGTTGTTTTTTGGTCCTTGTTTTTTTTTTTTTTTTCATTCAAGGCTTGTGTGAAAGAAAGAAGTACCCACATTTACTCTAGAAGATTTGGCTCTTTTAATTTCAAAAATGGAATGCTTGTAGAGGGAAAAAGGAAAGGTGGCTTTATCCAGCTGAGATTATTGTGTCTTAAATTAGACATACCGAAAATGATTGTTTCCAGAAGGGAAGTGAAAGTGAGGGCCAGGAGATGAAAGATTTCTGCAATTTCTAAATTAAAAGGGCTCTCAGTTGAACTGTTGCAATCTTAGATTTGGCTTACCTGAAAGTAGCCACCATTGAACTCAATGGGTCTTACTTCTAGAAAGAGCACTGGAAGGTTGTGCGAACTCACACCCCCTGCTGCAGTTTAAGTGTGTCTTTCCAAGCCCGGGCCTCCTCGCGAGTAAACTCCTCCCTTGGACACTGCGGAAGAGCCTTTCT